TGCAGTAGTCTATCTGGGAGATAACAAGGGCATGAGTGACTGTTCGAAGGGCATCCCGATCCAGGAAAGGGCATAACCGATGCACAATCTGAAGTTCTGCAAAGGCCCTCCTTGCCACGGCTGCCACCTGCTCTTCAAGCAGGAGCCGTGAGTCTAGGAGGACCCCCAGATTATGCACTGGGTCTGTCTGGGCAGTGCTACCCCATCCAGCACCAAAGATGACAAAGTCCCGGATACCAAGGACCATTTACCCACAGCCACTCTGTCTTATTAGGGTTCAGCTGAAGCCTGTTGTTCCCCGTCCAGACCCTTATAGCCTCCAGGCACTGCGAAAGGGCAGTCATGGCATCACTTACCTCATCAGGGATGGAGATGTATAATTGCGTATCATCAGCATACTGATGATACCTCGTACCAGGATGGCAGATGGTCTCACCCAGCGGTTTCATGTAGATGTTGAAAAGGAGCGGGGAGAGAACCGAACCCTGCAGCACCCCACAGAGGAGGGGCCGAGGATGGGACCTCTCGCTCCCTATCAGCACCGATTGGGATCGGCCCTGAAGAAAGGAGGTGAATCAGCACAAGACCGTGCCGGCCACCCCCAAATCCCTGAGTCATCCCAATAGGATACTGTGGTCAACTGAGCCGCTGAGAGATCAAGGAGAGCAAGGATGGTCACACTTCCACCATCCCGCTCCTGCCAGAGATCATCCATAAGTGCAACCAATGTCGTTTTCATTCCATAACCAGGCCTGAAACCTGACTGGAAGGGGTCCAGAATTAATATTATTACAAGATCGATAAGTTTGCTTAGAGGTTTCCTTAGGTTAATACATTTATTTTAAGCATATTGATAATACATAAAGATTGTTTTACATGAAGATTTTCTAAATTATTTTTATCTTTATCTTTGGAAACATATTTTGACTTCATTTTTTTAATGGAACTCAGATCATTGTCAAAAAAACATTATGGGCATAATCAGAAAGTTATGTGACCCCTTTGACATTTCAACCCTTATTACATAACACCCTAATATAATCCAGTTTTGAAAACTGCAGGCAAATGTTTTTTTAAATCAAACCAAGGTGGGATTACTTTAAATCATCTTAATTATTATCAAGATTTTTTAAAATAAGTAGTTCATATTCAATTAAAATATTTCTTGATTTAACCATTTGGTTCAGATGCATTAGCACAATTTAAAAGCCCCAAATTACTACCATAATTGGAGTGGATTTTGGATGACTTCAAGCCTACAGGGTTTTTTTTTTTGGTTAAAAAAAAAGAATTGATGAATATTGCTATGGTGGATATTGTTTTGCAAGAACTTTGGAATAACTAGTTGGAATGTCCCATATTAATAAATGATGGCTAAGCATTTAAAAGAATAATAAGTATCATTCTTATTACCTTAAGATGAAACTAATTCACCAAATGATTGTTTTTCATCTTTCATCCCCTTGTTTTCGAATATTAAAGCAATAAAAATGAAAATTTCAATACACAATGGTTCATTATCTGAGATTCATACCTCAAGTTGAAAATAAGCATTTAATTGACCAGACAAATCAAATAGAGAAGTCATTCAGGCCATATTTGATGTTTTCATTAGAAGATAGTTATTAAATTATACAAGCAGAAATCACATATGTAAAAATTTAAACTAGTTCAGTATTAAGTTCTACTTTAACTGACAGACTAAAGGCATCCCATATGTCTGGTAAAAATTGCATTGGCTAACAGTATTCCCAAAGACGGGGGGGGGGGGTTGTTTGTTTGTTTGTTTTATATAACATGATGCAACTGCAAGATGATCAGTTTGACCTTTTGCTGATCGAGTATTTGGTGGATTCCTTCATCTCTCTTAACTGGTTCCCCTTATACAGCTCTCTTATTCTATATTTGTTCCACATACCTTGTTAGAGAAAACCTGTTATGTACTCACCATGGAATTCATAGCAAAGTGGTTATGTTGTGTCTGCAAATCAAGGGCATGTTGGTAGCTCACTCCAATTTCAGTGTGACTCTGCAGGAACAATTCTTTGTTATGGCTGATCCAGTCAAACATCTGAAAAAGAAAAAAAAATAGAAGTGCAGAAAGAGAGAGCTATAAGGTTTGGAAGAAGGGTCTTTGTTCTTTTATCCAGAACTGTAACTGTGACTAAATTTGAGAGACATTATTTAAATAAACACAATAAAGCATAATTGAATTAATTGGCCTGTATTATACTTCTGCCATCCCTGTAGTCTTCAATCATTCATGCTTAATATGGCTGCTACAAAAATCAACCCTCCAAAAGATAAATGAGCATTCAAGAACAAGTCTATGAAGATATACTTTCTGCTCTATCGATAGACAAACAATTAACATTTGTATAGAAAACTTTAACAAGACATATACTAAGCTGGCAAAGAATATTTCAGAACTGGCTGGGGATGAAAGGAAATTTAGCAGACAAGACAAGAGATACAGAGAGAGAGATGTTGTGAGTATATTTCAGATTGCAAATTATCCTTATACCTATGGAGTTTGTGGCTCTGAAGATCTACCATATCATTTTCTCCAGCAACACAACAGAATTTTCTATTAATAATTTCACTCCTATAATTGCTTTTACTGTACTAGTAATTCCACATGTGAGAAGAAAACAGGCCAATGGAGTTTAATTAAATTCAAATTAAATTAAATACATCAAATTAAAATTGCTGTAATACATAAAAGAACAAACATTCTTGCTTTCTTGATCTTCTCAATCCATTCAGTTTGTCTTCTGAAGTTACCTTCTAAATGTAGCAATGGATGTTAATTAGGACAGCTTTACATGGAATTAAATTAATATAAAAGAGATAGCACATAATAATAATTTTTTAAAAATCAATGGCTAATAGCCATAATGATTACCTGCAGTATGAGAAGCAGAATGGATATATATTACTACTAGTATCAGTTGCTGGGAAATATGAGAGACATTATTGGAGTCATATTCCAGATTACTTTTTCCAGCAATCCAAAATGCCATATTTCATGTTTGGAATATGCACCAACTATCAGGTAAGCCTAAAATCTTGGTTAATGAGCCACATCCATTACCTGGGCTTTATATTTTAGTATAGCAAGCAAAACCAAATGATGGTTGTGAAGTTTGAGCCAGGACACTTGATACTTTCTACCAAGCTCTCATCGCTCATGGAAATCAATGCCTTCTGCTCTATAACGCCTGTCCAGCGACACAGGCAGCACGACAGGCAAGAAGTCCAGAAGACAAAGAACAGGCAGGGCCTTGTCTGAAGGAGGAGTATTGAAAAAGCATAGTAGATGGAACACATTATAAGTCCCAGGTGAACCTCTAGCAAACAGGCTACTGAGCTATTTTGCCATATATTGAGGAAGTTAGGTCAAAAACTAGAGGGGCTTTTTCTAAGTTCTAGCTGGTCTTATGCACTTTCATCATTTTTCTTCCTGGAAAGCAGAACTGATTCTCTCAAGATAGCCAATTCAGGGAAGAATCTTGCACGATTTGGCCTAACGCTCTCTTGGTTCTTTCTCTTTTGCAGTTCCTCATTAAGAGGTAACATGAAACTTGAATCAAAAAAACTGATGTATAGAAGCAGAATCAGTAAAAAGGAATCCTCAGAGAGAAAGGGTCACATACAAACAACAGATTTTTATCTCGGCCTTAGGAACCAACAGCAATTTATCTTATTAAGTAGCTACATGTTGGACATGAACATTCTCCAAACTAAGATATACCCATTTATGGAGGCAACAACCATTTGCAACAAGCCTTAAAAAATAAACAATATATTTAGTACATTACTCATAGGCAATATATCTGGGATAAACCTGAAATTAAGCAATTAAAAAGCAACAACGTGTTGTTACCGAGGGACTGTGAAAGCTTTTCTTTATCCATCTTCATTATACCTCTTCTGGGAGAACAAAGTGCATGGCTCTTCATGGACTATTTGCAAAACTGTATGGACACAGTCAGTTGCTTTTTATATCTCCCCCCTATTGGCCTATTCTAAATTTACTTGGAAAATACTCATAGCAAACTCAACAGCCTCTTTCATACGTTAGTCAGCATCACCATACTTGACTACCGTTACTGCTAATATTTTGCCAATACTATGCAAGCCAATGGAATTATGAACATAATTTAGAATAAGTGAGACTTTGTAATTTTCCTCTCTGAATATATTCATCATGGCAACTGCCATAAAAAAAAATTAAAAGCATGTGATCCTTCACATCCGTTCCTAAAGTTTATGTTGAAGGACTTGCTATTCTGACTTGTCTATTTATGCAGGGTATTCCCATACTTCCTTTCACACTATCTATGTTCATGTATGCACACATACACAGACATCATTTATGTGTGTACACACCCACACCCTCCACTTCTACTGCACAAAACAATCATGGGAAGCAAGCCACTTTGGTCAAATAGGGATGACTGAAAAAGTATCATGATTAAAGTAGTAAATAAACGAAATACCACAAGAAATTTGTGACTGCCCTTTTAGGAGTGAGCTGCAGCCTGCAAATTATTCATAACCCCTACTCTGGGGTCATTTTGCTTGGCTTCTGCTGCTCTACCCACCCCTGCCCATTGCACAACACTGACAGCAGACCACCGGCAATGTACTAAAATCAGCAAAACACCTCTGGCTTCAGACCATCCTCTGGATAACCAGTCCCCTCCTCAAATTCTCTGTTGGGTGAAACTTACATTTCGGAATGTTTCTCCTGCCTTTGTGGGCATATTTTTTCTCTCCAGTGGAAAATGTCTGCCATGCCTCTGCCCGCCCCCCAGCTCACATTTCACTTATTGATCCCAGCCGGGGGTGGGGGGGTGGGGGGAGGACTAAAATGTGAGCTTTACTTGCATGCAAAAATGCTATCACAGCCCATGATGCAGTTCACAGGGCTTTCTGACCTAGCACTATGGCAAAAGAAGGTCCTTTGGGACTACCCTGTTAACACTAGATGATACTATCAAATCTCTACCTCCCCTTCCAACTTGCATCTTATTAGGAGGAATCCTCTTGCAAACTACTACTGTATCTTTTATTTACACACACACACACACAAAGCTTGGAGTGGGTGTGGGTAGAGGCAGAAGCTAGAATTTTTGGGATTTGTGTGTGTGTTTATTTAATGAAGGAAAGAGATTATGGGGTGCTGAAGGGAGAGGCACAATGAATTTAGGAACTGTGAAAATTTGAATCAATGAATCCAACAACAACTCTGGGAAATTCATGGGGAGGAGAAAAAGCTTTGTATAATGAGCATTTGAATATCTCCTTTAAAATTAGCAGTCTTGATGCTATTCTTAAACTTAACCAAAATATCTTATTTCCAGTGATATTCATGCCTTGCTGAAGTTACACAGCTCAGATAGTAGGAAATGTGTGCAGGTAGGCAAGCTGACATGTCTTCCCTAATTGCTGATATGTCTCCTATAGTTGCATGTCTCCATACTCCCCCAACAAATATAAGGGGCCATTAATCCTTTATAATTCTCCGGTGATTTATTTGAATATCATAAATTCTTTTACAGATAAATGTCTTTTAAAGATAATTATCTCTCTAGTTCATTATCTCTTGTGGTTTCTGCATGAAAAGCAGGGACACAGAACAGCTAAATGCTCCAAAATTACATTTAATTTAATGAATTCTTCTTTCTGAGGGAATCAGACATAGCATGCAGGCTTCCTTATGCAATATTTTGGTAAATTTATAAACCAGAAATCTAAGACAAATCCCTATGCATGTATTTTAATTTCTAAACTGATATTAAAATGGTGATCCAGTTCACACCTAATAATTAATTAGAATTCTTTTGCAATTCTAATACTTTGGTTTAGTGTGATTGAGCAAACAAATTAGTACACTCTGTTTAATTGCTCCCACTGGACTCTTCTTCCTAGCAAAGGTGGCTAAACAAACCAAGCTTTGTTTGATATTATGTGTATGAAGACCTGAAATGTGTACACACTGGTGGAACAAATTAATCACCAGTGAGACTTCCTGGTTTGTTTAGCTGCTACCACTGGAATGAGAAGTTGAATGGGAGAAATGAAACAGCATACTTGCCTATCATGGTAAACTAGAAGAGTCTTTATGGTCTTGCTCTACCACCCTAGCAATAGCCTATAAGTACATTGACATGAATGCCAAGTTAAACAGCCAAATCCTTAGAAGCAAGTTTACAAGATTTACAAAGGAGGTAATCATAAGTGTCAGACGTTTATTTCCAAACCTACTGATGAATTAATTAAGGTACAGAATTCCATCAAGGATACTGGAGTAATAAATTTATCTGACTCACGATGGAGGCATGTCAACAATGCCTTCAATTATTATCCTGTAGAACATTCTGATACAGTCATCCTATTTACTACTAGCAGCTTTTCAGACAGTCACATCAGGTAGAAAACCCCTTGATTCATAGATCTTTTGCTCTAAGATAAGCTTCAGAAAGTACAAAATATTCTGTAAAAAAATTCTGAAAAAAGAGAGAAGAAAGAGAAAAGTAAGAATATAATAAAGAGAAAAGAAATATATAAAGAAGTGATTCCAATCTTCATCACAACAAGTATAAACAAATTGAGTGACTCTTCACCCTCTCTAAAGTTACAAACATTTATCTCTCCATCCCATATCCCATCTCTTATCTATAAACAAATCCATAGAATATCATCTTTCCAGGCCTGGTGTCAGCAGAAAGTTCATAAAGGGTAGCCAGAAGTGACAACATATCTTGTTTTAACCTTGATCAAATAAACCAACTTTACATTCCTTCCTTTTATTTCTAACAGTCTTAATCTTTAGT